AGATTCGCACTGAAGTCGAGAGTAAATGGGCAAATGTACCTGGTGCGAAAATAGATTGGATATTATCTGTATACAATTATTCAGATGAAACTTCAAAGCACCGCCGTCGACACACCCTCGAAATCGAGAATATATTGGACACTTATGAAGATGGGTCGGGTTTGCTTGTTTCTATTTCTGTTTCTGTTTCTTTTTTTCACTTTCTAGAGGACTTATTCTTTATTTTTCCTTTTTAAATAGTTAAAAAGCTCGTTTAATTTCTATGTGTTTAGTGAAGAGAGTTCTCGTCAAAAGAGAGCTGCAGCTGAAGTGATGAGAAGTCGAAAATGTGTGATTGCTGTGATTAAAGTAAGCAGAAAAGTGAAAAGGATAAAATGTTTTACAGCAAATGCGTGGCAAATGCGATTTTGCATCAGTAGATGTGAGTATGATTAAAGGTGAGAAAAAGTTGTCGATGAGTAGAGAGATGAGAGAGAATCTCCTTTCAGAATTGGACAAATGCTATCATGTTGCCGTCGAGCACGCAACTCACACAAAAGATGTGATATTTAAGAATAGTGCGGAAGAAGTTGAATCTGGTATGTTGCAAAAGATGATCCACATTTATTAGAAATAGAAAATTAGAAATAGAAAAAGTTACTTCAATTTGGAAAGGATTCAAAAGTGTTTTCATAAAGATTTCTTTTCAAATGTTTAGAAGGATTTGATGACATGGAAAAACCCGAAAAAATGCCAAGAAATGAAAGCCGGCAAATATGGGATAACAGAGAAAATCCCATTGGTAAATGCAGAAAAGACACAAAAATGCCTGCCTTCTCTCAACTCACTAGCTAACAATCAAAGAACTTCTCCAAATTTAGTTTAGCTTTGAAATAAGTTTAAAGAAATGGTAAAGTTCGACTTTACAATCTCTTTCAAAAGCTCAACCTTTGTTCTAATTGCAAGAAAGTAGCCTTGAAAGTCACCTTGAAAGTAATCACTTCTAACAGCACAAAATTGGACGAATGCCACTTCTTGGGAAGATCTTTGTGGGAAGACAAATCTTTCTTTCAATTTCGTATTTCATTGCTTGAAATCTAAAAATACAACATTGCTTGCTTCACTTGAATATTTCAAAAATGCTTTCTATATCCCTTTTTTAGTGGCCGAAGAGTTGGAAGAGGTTTTACCGTGGTCATTCATGGACAGTCTACTCTTTGCTTTCACCGTCATCACAACTATCGGTTTGTCTTGAGTTAACACCTTGAAAAGCAAACTGCACTCAAAATCCTCTAGGTTACGGTAATGTTGCTCCCCGTACATTTTGGGGTCGTCTTTTTGTGATTCTCTATGGTTTGATCGGTATACCGTTTACTCTTCTTGCGATTGCCGATATGGGAAAATTTCTCTCCGAAATTATGTACGCTGTCATAAAGAGATGCTCAAAATTTAAGAGGTAAGAAAGAAAATAAATTTGAATATTTGAAATCTCTGTAGACGATTGAAAGAAATGCTCTCACGGAAAGATCGAAAACAATACGATTTCAACAAATTGAATGGAGGATTGGGGAAAAGTGGAGGTGATGGGACGCCGTTGAGTGAGAAGACCACAAGTATTGAAGAGGTTGTCAAAGCTGAAGAAGGACAAACAATTATATCACCAGAAGATGATAAGGTTTGAGAGTCTATCTTTTAAATGCTGGCTTTACAATATAAATGTTTAGGTATCCGTCTCTTCAGACGAAGAAGCCGATGACAGTCAAGCTCTTCCCCTATTCATTCTATTTATTCTGTATATTGGACTTGGTAATGCTATTCAGTTCTTTTTTTATTATTATTCTTGATTTCAGGTGCTCTTTTATTATGCCAATACGAGCCAGATATGGATTTCTTTAAAGCCGTTTATTTCAATTTCGTCACATTGACTTCGATTGGACTTGGTGATATTGTGCCAAGAAGGCTTGTTTTTAAATTAAAAAGATATTCAAGTGAGATACTGTACGGAGATAATTACCGTAAATACTGTAATAGTACCCCACCCCCATAATGACGGTGCGGAGCGTTGCGTAGCCTAGCTTTGGACGAATTTTTCTCGACACTGGTTTATGCTACAATGCGCGCTTAGGTATCAAAAAATAGCCCTGAATTTCAGCTATTTTTCGATACCAAAGACGCATTTTTTGAAAGTACGGGTGCTTTGAAAAAAATGAAATACTAAAAACTTTTGCGACTACACGACTGTACGAGGGGGGTGGGGTACTATTACAGTATTTACGGTAACTAATACTAAGATATACTAATATAGAGATACTTGACTTTTAGTGAGACGTTTATGGCTGTAACAATCGTTTATATAGCGATCGGATTGGCGTTGACTACAATCGCTATTGGTTAGTCAATGAAAATGATCAAACAGATCAAACAGTTCTGATTTCTTGAATTTTTCAGAAATCGCTGCTGATACCCTTAAGAAGTTGCACTATTTCGGGCGAAAGATCGAGAATGTAGCCAATGTTCCGATTTGGTTTGGAGGGAAGAAGTGAGATTTGTCGTTGAGCATTATAGACATCAATATAGACTCACAATGAAGCAATTGGTGAGAAATCTCGGTGATCAGTTCAATCTCCCGACAACAGCGATCAAAAATCTCGATCTGGATACATTTGTCGACAATGCGATTAAAGTTGAAGCAGGAGAACTTGAGACATTGAGGGTTAGTTCATGATAATGGAACAAAGGAACAGTTCTAGATCATCTAAATCTAGTTCTAGATCATCTAAATCTAAATTTTAGCCTCCACCTTTTGAACCCGAACAGGAAGTCGACGATTTTGCTGACAATATCGAGGATCTAGGTGAGAGTGAACTTAGTTTTGCTTTCTAAGAGAATTGAAACAAACTCTTCTATCAATTTTATTTTTTAAAAGTTCAAATTGTTTAATTGTTTCAATTCTCCTTTAACCCTAACCATCAAAATGCACGTTTGATTCGATTGATTCATTGGTTATTGGTTATTGGTTATTGGTTATTGATTGTTTACAAGTTGGGGGCTATTGTTGGGCCCATTTCAGTGTCGATTGATGAGAAATCAATGGGTGAATCGATTGGGAAAAGGAAAGGCGAAGAAAAAAGAGTGATTGGATGGAATGTGCATCAATCTTCTCATCTCCCACCACCTCCACCACAACGATCTCTTCGACCAATCTCATTCTCATCATCCATCAAGCGATCGGCACCGTTCACCATTGAACTTATGAAATAATAAATGAAATTAAGAAATCAGAAATCATTTTATATAAACAGTTATTGTTTTGGCTTTTATAAACTTTCTTTACGACTTAAAAGACAGATTTTAGTGTCCGCTTTTGAACAAAAGTCGGGCAGAACAAAAGTCCTTTTTTGGTTTTAGCAAACGAGTCATTTGTTTGTGTTGTGTTTTATATGTTACAGCTGTTATTGTATCTATTCAATAACCTTTATTGAATCTATTCAATAATGGACGGGTTTTTGAATCGGACAAAGTTCAATAACGGACGTAACATAGATCCATTTAAGGGTGTAACTGTAGGAGAGAAGTGATAGAGTGTCTAGATGAATGGAAGAGAGATCCAACTCCACCACCAACACCGCCTGGTCTCACTCCACCACAATCACCATCTCCACCACCATATGAAGAAACGAGTGAAGAAGAGATCCCCGATCCACCCACACCACCGCCTCTCCCAGAGCCAGAGCCGGAGCCAGAACCCGAGCCAAGTCCTGAGCCTTCTTTGAAAACACCAGGCATTTTTTTATATTTCATTTAGTACCTAGAAAGTTTTCTAGTTTCCTAGATTCATCTAACATTTTCACATTTTGAAGTGATTTTAAAACGAAATTCATAATTATTGGCAAAGAATAAAACCTTTTGAGTGTCTTGCACCTGACATTTCTTCAATCAAATCAATATTTATCCAATATTCAGTTTTCAGAACCTTCTCCATCTCCTCCTCCAAAAACTCCCACACCCGAACCATCTCCTTCTCCACCAAGAGAACCCACTCCACCAAAGAGTCCCACTCCTCCACCAAGGTTCGCTTGAAGCCTAACAATAAAGAAATCAATATACGAAGATCAAAAATGAAATGAAATATATTATTGCAGAGAACCGACTCCAGAGCTGAGAGAGCCAACTCCTGAACCGACTCCAAGAGAACCCACTCCTGAGCCTGAACCCGAGCCCGAACCCGAGCCTGAACCTGAAGTAATTCTATTCTTTCTACTACAAAAAAAAACATTTAGGAAGAAATTCTCCTGCCACCCGAACCTCGAAAACAACCAAAGAGTAAGTTTTTTCTTTGTGATTTTTGCCAAAACTTCCCTACTAACAGTGGCCTACTATGTACTCAAATACACAAAATTGGAACGTTGGTTTTAAAGCTCTAGAGAAATTTTTGAATTATTTCATTTACTGACAGAGTTTTAACAAAAATTTTTTGAACTTTTAAAGTAATAAGCTAAAAGGAAAATGAGAAGAAAACGATTTTCAGAGAAAACGTTGACAGCCGCGGAATTAGCCGCACAAAAGAGGAAAGCTTATAGTGAAGATGCATGGAGAAGATATCAAGAATATCAAAATGTAAGCGGGTTTAGTTTTAATCAAGCGTAGTTGCTAAAAAAGAGATCTTTCAGCAATGGAAGAAGTTCCGACAGACGAAAAATCAGCCAAAACCTCCACCGAATCCTCGAGCATCGAGTGGAAGTCGAGCCTCAACGGCTGGCGGAGTCAGCACTACTTCGTGAGTTTTTAACTCACAAATCTTACCATATAAAGGAATTATATTGTAAAATTTGAGTTCTCGTCCCGGTTCATCAACATCCTCCCGTCCTGAGGGTTCTCGTCGTGGTTCTCGTGCTCCATCACCCGAAAGTACCAACTCTTCACGCATATCTTGATATGAAACTTTACTTTTTACTGTATAAAGTGTTTTTTTCCACCTCAACAAGAGTTTATTTCATGGAAATTCCTTCATATTTTTGTCAATAACCGCTCTCCAGTTCATTAGAGTCGAAGAGACGACGCGGATGGTGTGAACGACGAGAACGACTCTTCGAACTGGTAACAGTTGATGTTGAATTCTCGAGATGAGCTAGTGAATGGAAATACTTTCTCTTCAGTTCATCGGAGAGCTTTTTCACTTCATCTTCGGCGTCTCCATTCCACATTTTGACCGATGAATTGATATAGGCTCGATCAAGTGCCTCCCACAAGCCGAGAGCTGGAAATTCGTTTTTTTTAACTAACTTTGCATCAGAAAATGATGGAAGCTAGTGTGTTCCCCGCGATCAATCGATTAAAGTTAAACAATTCAAATTTTAATCGTTTAATCGTCGATTAATGGCTTTTGGGTTTTTAGAACGCGCCCTCACATTGGCCAGCTATTTAGCTATTCAGCTAAATTAACTTGTAGAAGATTAAACATTTCCTAGATTCTAAAACTCACAAGCTCCCCAGATAAATTCCCCACAAAGTCTTGTTCTCACATAGAGGACATTGGCTGTAGTGTCCTTGAAATTAATGCTCAATCGAAGTTTTTTCGTCTGAAATTCACATTAAAATAAAGAAATTCGAAAACTTTATCAAGTTGGTTAGCAGTTTGAAATAAGAAATACGATTTTGTAAATGAATTCAATTTAAATTCAAACCTCCGCTTTTAGCATTTGCTCTTTGATGTCCTTTTTGAGAGAAAGCATAAAGAATTTCACACAATTCGTCTCACCGGTCTCACATGGTGGCACTTTAATGCTAAAATCAAATAAATAGATTTGTTTTGCTGTAAATAGTCTAACTAAAACTAAAGTTTTCTATTGGAGCCTAACTTTATGAGTACCTTGATCCCTTTACCTGTCTTTCAGCCACGATTCCCCGTTAATATTCATAAAGAAAGAGATCTCAGTTTCGACCTTTGTTGAACCTAGATTTAATTACTTCATATTTACATAGGTATTTTTTCCATATTACATATCAGTTCATATTTTTGTACCTTTATAGAAAATGGCGGGATCATTGCGAATGTCCATCGAGAAATCGAGACAGTTTTGCTTTTGTTGTACCATCGTACAATTCATATAAGCCGGTTTCCATTGAGCTGAAATGCTATTAGGGTGATAGGAATGAAACCAGCGCTCACATATCTTTCCAAAAATAAAAAGATTGCAAGCCTCAGCCAATAATTGTTGTATACTATTAGAAAGCCCGTAAATCTTCTCTACAAAATAGTGCAAAAAGATTTTGAATTCGAGTGATTATTGGGGACCGCGATCTTTCGGGCGATTTAAAGTTCAAGTTGTGTTCCCTGTGCGCGGGCACAATCGCACTCGATCTGGCATACTTCGCTTGCAGATATAGTTCCCTTTTCACTTGTCAAACCGGAAGCGTCCATTTTGGGTCATCCGGTAACCAATCCGTTGTCTGCCCCATGTGGTCACCGCTTCCCAAAACTAACCTTGGCTGTAGGACTGGTTAACCCAGTTCCGGCTCATTTTGACTATGATGACGGGTTCTCTGTCGGTCGAAATGGGATCCCAAGTGCCTGTAAAAGGGTGCTGAAGGGAGCCGCTGTGAATTTTTGGATTCATCCCAAGGATTTCGGTCCGTAGGGGCAGCAAAAACTCATGGCACGAATGTCGTGGCTATTACCAGAAACACATTTTTGATCTAACCAATCCAAATTAAAATCTTTTTGCAATATTTTGTAGAGGAGATTTAGGGCTTTCAAACAACACTTATTGGCTGAGGCTTCCAATCTTTTTTTAAGATATGTGAGGTTTCATTCCTATCACCCTAATAGACTATAAATAATTTTTGAATCCTTTTCCCTGAGAAGCGCAAGTAAAAGAGATGACTTAAACGAAAGCACAAACCCTGGGTCAGAGCGAGCACCGCCGCGATGATCGCGAGTCTCAACATTGTCATCAAGAGACTCAAGATCCAGAAAAATTCAAGAGAAATATCGAATTATTGAATAAAAGAAAAGACAAAAGTGATTTCTCTTGAGATTTCTATTACGCATGCTCTTTTTGTCGTTTTTTTTCTTTCCGTAGATTGACAGCTTTTCTTGAATTGACTCAAAACGCTTTTTTCAAACATGGGACTCAGCTCTTCTTATGTTTTTGGCAACAAAAATGGATTGACAGGTGATTCGCGTAGAGGAAAATGAGTCTTTGAGAAATTTCCGATCATTTCCGAAAGTAGGAATTGATTTAAAAACGCTCAGCTGTACAATATGTGTTCATAAAATTGTCTCGATAAGATTGAAAAGGAAAGAAGTCAAAAAATGAAAAAAGTTGTCATAAAAGTTCTGGCAACATTGACGAATTTCTTTTTGAGTTTGAAAATTGGATTGATTAATTGAGAGAGAGTTTTGAATCTTTATTCAATCGACTGATATGTACAAAAGAATCATTCTAACAGCTTCAACTCCGACTAACATTGATCGAGATCTTCACAAGTTTGTTGTGGATTCTTCTTTTTCACCTCGAGATCCTGAATTGATCTTTAAGAGAAAAACGAATTCTTATGCGCCTTAGCTTCATTCATTTGCTTCTTACCTCATAAATCAAATCGAAATTGTCATTGACTAGATCCATGCATTCTTTCCCGGCCACAGGCCCTTCATTATGGCTGATGTCTTTGCATTCCTGAATCCAAACAAGCATTTCAATCTCCATAAAAACTCCATAAAAAAATCTCCATAAAAACTGACATCCATCAGCGCCGATTTGAGCTCCGATTTGGTGGGTGTTGAGTGGAAATGATGAATAGCGATGTTCATAATCATTTGACATGTTCGACATGGATCATTTGGTTGATCCTGCAAAGGATCTGGTTGACCAGTTTTTCTGGTTGACATCTGGTTGACCCAGTTTTTCTCAATTTAGTACTTCTAGCAAGTTTTACTTCACGATTTCTATCAAAAAAGATAAAGATCTTCGCAACTTTAACTAAATTTGAAAATCCTCACTTTTAAACTCACTTTTACTCGTAAAGCCAAACCAAAAGTGCAAAGAATGAAAAGAGTTGACAAGGCAAATGGTCGAAGAATCATTTCATAAAGAATTACAAAAGATTTTAATAAACAGATTTTTTAATAAACAGATTTTTCAATTTTCTTATTTATTCTTTTCTTATCTTTTTCTGGGAGCCTCCCCTCGTGTGCATTCTGTTCATTCTAATCCCCTTTATCGCTGTGATTTTGCTTTTTGAATCCGGAAACTTCTGAAATCTCTATCTTTTTGAAATCCGGAATTGAGATTTGAACTCGATGTATGTGACGCTAAAGAGTTTGCACAATTTTCACGTTTTTTCCAAGAGATCCAAGAGATTCAGCAGAATGTTTATTAAGAAAAAGTTGATCCTTCATTTCATGTATCCAGCTTTCTTCAATTGTTCCACTGAAAGTAAACTTTTAGTTTTTAATTGAAATAGATTTTTTTACATTGAAAGATCATACTCGAAGTGCTACGCCAGAGTTTTACAGTCGATGGTCCTGAAAGGATTTTGAAATTTTAAATTGAAAATTTCCCACTTTACCAAGACGATAAGTCTTGGAACATTAGCCTAAAAAACTCACGAATTGCAGTTTGTTTACGATTTTTCTGAATCAAGTTGAGAAATTGAATGATATCCGAGCGATCGATGCGGACAATTGGCGGCAGAAGAGAGACTGTAATTAACACATTCATGACAAAGTCATTTTTGGCTCGGACAACAGCTACGACTGGATGTACGCTTGCATTTGGGTAATTAAACAATGAAATATCCAAAAATAGGCACTTTTCTTTAAAAACTGATAACAGATTCGAATTCAACATCCTCGAAAACCCTGATTGCAATTTTCCAATCGGTATCGATGGGCCGTATGGGATTTAGGTTGAGTTGAATGTCGAATCTGTTGAGTGAATGGAATGGATGGGTTACAATAACTACAGTAAGTTCCATCTTAATCATTGCTCCAAATTTGCAAGAAAAGCTTCACTGAACACTCACCAAAAGGGTTCAATCGTGGCATTGCCTTTACCGTAAACAAAGAAACGAAAAGAAATGCAATGAAGTATCGAGTTTGTCTCATTTTTGTTCAATTTTGCGTTTTGATGCTTTAGTAATGCTTTTATAGGAATATTTTTCAAATCCATCTGCTTTTTTTTTCAAATCAGCCCACTCAAATCCGCGAAAATTTGCTAGCGTTCCACGAAACAAGAATTCACCTGTTCTTCTCACAAAATCAGCAAATTTTGGAGTGAAATGGCATTTGAATTTCCAGATTTCTGCTATTTTTGGGTTATGAATTGAAGTTTATTAATAAAACCCGTGAAATTGAAATAAACATTTGCATAAGAGTTTGTGGAAAATTAGAATGGAATGGACTGAAGTTTTGGGAATGGGAAACCAAGTAGCAGATAATCAAAGAAGAAAAGTCCCATGAAGCGTTTCATCAAAACGGGAGATTCTCTGAAAATAAATCTATTTAAACATTTATTTAAACAAACTTGAGCTCTTCCTCAATTGCTTTTCTTTTCTCATCACCAACTGTGGAATGAAGGGATCGTCCTCCTTGTAATTGTTCTTTGATCTAAAGTTCTTTAGTTAAATTTCTTTGAGATATTATCACAAAATCGATTTCTTGTCCATTAACACCAGCTTTTCCGAATAATTCTTCTAATTGTCTAGCAATTCCTTCAGTATCCGCACTGCTGTACTTCAGAATTTTGTAATTTGAGAGCTGACTGCTGAACTCGCATTGCCTGAATGAATTACACGAAAATCAGGAGCTCTCTCTCTTCTCTTTCTACCATAATTGTGGAAGAAAATGTAGATTGACATGTTCATCGATTGAATATCCACCATTTCCCATTTTGAAATCATCTCTTCGCACCGTTTCTCGCCCATTCTTCTCTAGCATTCCCAACAAACAATCCGCATTTACACAATCACCACATCTCTTTAGATTGCTAAACTTTCAAAATCGTTTTCACGGCTTTCACGGCTTTCAAACGAACGTGCATTGATTGACTAATCCCGAGAGAAATCTTTCCATCGGTTCGCGGACAAGTGCGAAATTCTTCGATTCATCAAAAGGGATTTGCAAGAATTTTTCGACTTGCCGATGTTTAAAGAATTCATTTTTTCCAATACAAGATCTAGAAAAGTTCTTTATGATTTTTGTTTGCTGAAATAATCTCTTTTTCATACCTATTATCATTCCATTGATTGCGAAAATTGCCAGCAGTTTTTATAAGAAATGGATTATGCAAATAGCACATGATAGCTGTGAGAAGAGTGGACATGTTCTTGTAGATTGTACAAGCAGTTAAACGGTGTCTTTTCGATACCTGAATGAGGGAATTGATTTGAAAGTTGTTAGTAAATCTTTTGTCATTGAATAAACGAACCCGATATTGTGAAATCATTTGATAAAAAGGCGTTTGTAATGAGCATTGATCTCTTGATGGACATAACCATTCAAGGAAATTCATTGCTCTAAATATTGAATAGACTTTGTACCTTTGAATTTGAATGTTTGATAAACCTTTGAATGTCTTCATCGGCCATTTCTGTCACCACAACCAATAACACAGTCAAATGCTTTTCATTCACCGAAAATCGTTCAAGAAACTTTTTCTAAAACTTTTTCTTTGCTTAACTTTAGAGAGAAAACTTACAAAGAATAATTTAGCCGTATCAGATGCTTTCACAATCTTTTCTTTATCATAATCCGGCCAAAAAATAATCAAAAAGATGATTATCGTCGGCACAAAAGCATAAAAAAATGATCGATTTCGGAAAAACATCTAGAAAGGTTTAAATCTAGAAAGGTTTCCTGAAAGCTGAAAAAAAGCTTGTTTGAATGTTTGAGTGCTAATCTTCTCGAGAATCTTTATGCAAAACGAGGCCAGAGATTAGATCTCAGCAAAAAAATAGAGCTAGACTTTTCTGGCTTCATCTAAAGGAATTAAAGAAGATTTCCATTTTATAATGTGACAAAATTTATGAAAAAAAAGTATGACAAAAGATTCCACGTCAAATCGTCCTCATATGTGAGTTATCCACAAAAACGAATAAAGGTTTTGTCTCTTTTCAAATCCGAAATCGATATTTTGATCAAATCGTTTGGATGCTTTTTGAAAAATGAATATCATACAATTCATAAACCATTTTTTATTTGACAATGTTTTGTTACTTTACAATAACTCCAGGAAAATTTTGAGCGTTTGGTACGTTTGGTAGCTTGGTACGTTTTTATTGTGAACCAGCTGAAAAATCTGGATGTTTTTCTGGCTGGATAAAGCCTTACAGGTGGACGGACAAACAGACACTGCTTTTATATATGTTGTGTCCGATTTAGATTGAACTTATCGCGGACGTCCGATTTAGATTACAGTCTATATCGGACGTCCGATTTAGATTCAATCTAAATCGGACGGAAATCAAAATCGGACACAACATATATATTAGATTTCTTTAAACACTAAACCATTCAATTCACTTTCAGTTCTATTAAAACATTTTCCAGTTTTCACAATCTGTGACTCATCACTTTCTTTCATATCATTCATAATCTATGGTTTAACTCGAATCACAAAAAAAGACCGATGGCGCCAAAGGTTTTCATGGGCATTTCTGTATAGAGAAATGGTAAAATGGTAAAATGGAAAAGAAAAAGGAAAAAGATATCGATGAATAAGCTCTTCTCTTATTCTTTATTCTTCCGGAAAGGTGGAGTGAAAGATGGAAAAAGAGGCAGAATCGCTTCTCTCGTGTCATTTCGTTTTTCACTCAATCAAGTCTTGTCTTGTTAGATCTTTATGTAATCATGATTTCTTAAAGTTTCAGTTTTACATTAAAGTGTACCCGGATTAGTATCGTTGATTTAAAATGACTGAATACTTCAAATTCTGTCACTATTGTCGGGTAGAAAACTGGGACTTTACAATTACAGTAACTCTAAAAGCTCGTTCACAAATTTTAGCTTCATTGATTGACGATGACTGAATTTTGGCAATGTTTCTGTTTGATCTTCTCACCGGTTAGTTTAAAAGAACTAATCAAACAACAAACACTTTTTCAGCCAATCACTGTCGCTTTAGCAACAGGCGACGGGAAAAAAATGTACATCTGTATGCTTCTCACAATGATTTGTTATATTCCCGGGCTCCTATATGCTATGCAGGTTTGGTTCTCGTTTTACAAATTCAAAAAGTACAAGGATCGAATGGTCCAGTGATCAAATCACTCCTGTGAACCACCATCGCGCCACTTGACTCACTGAAGAATTTCTCGCGCGGAGTATTTAAATAGGAACAAGAGAAAACAAAAAGATATTCAGTTGGTTCACTGAATATCTAACACAGCGAAATCTAACATAAATCGGAACGCGAAAGGCGCAGAATCAGGGGTAGGCTAGTTTCCGCAACAGAGTCATTTGCGCAACTGGGTCGTTTGCGCAACTCACCATAACTTTCTTCTAAGTGTAATCTTTATGATTTTGGTCTCCTTTTGTAGATCTCAATAAGTGCAACAAAATGAAATCAAAATCATAAAGATTAGCCCACTTAGAAGAAAGTTATGGTGAGTTGCGCAAACGACCCAGTTGCGCAAATGACCCTGTTGCGCAAAAAAAAGTTGCGGAAACTAGCTTACCCCCAGAATCGGAACTAACAGAACATTTGACTCAAAATCTTCTCCTTTTAGTATACAAATGAGGGACGAGATCATCACAATCATCACGCTCATTAAAATCGATCAATTTACTCTGAACTCAATGATCGATCTCCAAAACAACCTTTTCCCTTTTCCCAATTCTCTTTATCGCTCAAAAATATTGACAGAAAACAGAGAGATCTCCCAGGATAATTGCTTATTTTTCCTTATTTTTCCGTTTTTTTATCAGTCAAATGTCACTTCTTTACTCAATTTTACTTTTATTTTTGTTTTTTATGCAAATAGGTTTGTGATTTGTACGTTTTTATCAAAAATTATTTAATCAAATAGGCGTGTTTGCATTTTCGAAATCTCTTGATGAATCAAGTGTCTATGGATCACGATTTTTACCCGAGAGTCGACGACTTTTTAACGACATCTTTCCGCCACTTGAATAAATTCGAACAATAAATATAAAGTTAAAGATATTGTTACAAAGTATCCAAAAAGTTACAGATATCAGTTATCAATTCAAAAACAAACTTTTTATTCACGTAACCTGATCACTCGACCAGAACGGGGAAAGGAATTTCTCTCCCCAGGAAATCATTTTCAATTTCATTTGATGGCACGTTCAAGTTCAGTTTCAGTTCAGTTTTAGTTTCATTTCCTCTAAAATGACTAACATTTTACAGTTTACCTTGTTGCTTTCTTTGATATTTATTGTGTATGGTGGTAGATATGGAGGTGGATGGGGTGGTGGTGGAGGTGGAGGGATTGGTGGGTGGAATGGTGGAGGTGAGGGTGGAGGGATGAGTGCGTGGAATGGTGGAGGTGGAGGTGGAGGGATGGGTGGAATGAGTGGATGGAATGGTGGAGCACCGAGTCGACCCTTTGGACACTTTGGAAGACATCGACATCGACATTGGCATCGTGGGTGGAGAAGACACCATTTCCGAAATCCTTTTCGAGCTCGATGGGGAAGAGGGAGACACGGAAGGCATCGGTCAGATCTTTGAGTCCTTGGAAAACCATAAAAATGTCAGACATTGGCGAATGATGTCACGATCTGGACATCGATTCTTCTTCCGTCATGGAATGGAAGCTGGAGAATTGGCTGATCTACAAAATTTACCCGATGATGTCCGGCAAAGACTTGGCGATAATGAGCAAGAATTTGTGAACTATGGAACAAGGTAAAGAAAACGGGAAATTTGGAGTGAAGAGAATTTAGATTCAAACGTCGTTTCAATTTGGGAGCAATGGAAGATATTGCCGGGAATTTCAACGATAACTATGCTACTCTTCAAGAATTGAAATCAAGACCGAATAGGAGAAGATTTCGATTTGGAATGCATCCATTTATGCATTTATCAAGGGATCAATTCAAACGGGTAAACGAAAAAAGAACAATGAACTTTTCAGTTATAGATTTATTTAGATTTTACTACCAATTCCTGATGAAACTTTATCTCCAAGTGTGATCGTTGATGAGGGTGATGGAACAGAAAATGGAGGAGAAGAAGGGACAACTCATGCTCCAAGTGAAAGCGATTATCAAGCGGATATCGAATACAATGATCAAGATTCGGTAGGTTGAAATAAAAACATGTTAGAGTTAAAAATAGACAACTGAAACGACTCCTGAAGAGACGACAACAGAGGAAACATCCACAGATTATGGAGGAGAAGAAGAACAAGGAAAAGAAGAACAAGAAAAAGAAGAACAAGAGGAATTACCGACAAGTTTTGATTGGAGAGACCAAGTGACAGTCTCCACTCCGAAACACCAATGGGATTGTGGAAGTTGCTGGACTTTTGCGTGGGTAGTTCATAGTCAAATCTCTCGATTTACTCCAATCGTTACTTGTTCGACAATGTACTGTTTGACAATAAAGCTCAATTTTTAGATCAGCAGGAGTTCTCGAGATTCAACACGCTCGTCAAAACAACGACGATCAATTGGATCTCGCAGAAATGGTTGGTTTTCTTGAGAGAAAAGATATTCATTTCTAACAGGATCATACTTGTGTTTACAATGGAACAATTTGTGATGGTGGATTTCCAAAAGATGCATTCAAATACTTCATGGAGAATCCGGGGATTGGATTGGAAAGTGATGATCCGTACGATACGGATAAAGAGATGCTTTGTCGAGAGGTTAGTTTATTTCAAAACTTGATAAAGATAAAGTTTCCATAATCATTTCCATAATCGTTTCCAGATTTCTCCAGCTGTTCGTGTTCGTGAAGTCATCGATTTATTACCATTTGATATGGAAAAGACAAAAAGAGCTCTCATCAAAAATGGTCCATTTGCTGTGGGTTAGTGGGAAAAGATTGCTGTAACAAGAACAAGAACAAGAACAAGAACAAGAACAACAACAACAAGAACAGCTTTCAGGAATTTATGTAAATGATGATTTTCAATATTACAAGGAAGGAATCTTTGACAAAACGTGTGAAGGATTGGAGAAATTGGGAGGACATGCCATTGTGGTTGTTGGATATGGTGAGAAGATCACATTTTGAAACTTAAAACTGGTCAAAATGTAATACCTACCAGATAAATTACCATAATCCTTTATAAAACTTGATTAAATATATTAAATGGTAAACAGGTGTCGAAGATGATGTTCCATATTGGATTGCGAAGAATTCATGGGGTGATGATTGGGGAGAAGGTGGCTATATCAAGGTGAGTTTTAAAAAAAGATTCAAAAAGCAATGCAATAGTTTTAAAAGTCCCAATATTAGTTCAAAGCCGGCGAGAATCTCTGCCGAATCGAGTCATGGTTTCAAACACAAGCGATAATTGAATAAAAGGATCTGTTTAAAAGTTGAAGTTTTAAAAGGATCATTGAATAAAGGTCACAGGAAAGTCTGAATTCGTTAGGTAAACATTTGCACAACATTTAAACATTTAAACAACAAACAGCATCGAGTACAAAGTTTGACTGAATATCGTGAAATTTCTTCTGAAAATTCTGTGTTTTCTCTCAAAAATTTGTTGTCAAATCGAACGTTTCTCGTAAATCATTCATTCCTACATCAAAAAAATCAATGATAAACTCTTTAAAGTCTACAAAATGAGCACTGAAATGAGGTCTATTTGTGGTGACGGTAGGAGAATGGGTTTAAAACAATCTAACAAGTGAATCTAACCGGTAAGACTAGGTAATCAAGTGTAAAATGAATAAAAATCACCGAAACTCAATGAAAAGCAATGAAAATCACCGAAAGATCAATGAAAATCAATGAAAATCAATGAAAATCAATGAAAATCAATGAAAATCAATAAAAATTTCAAAGAAAATGAATTTCTGTATAGATAAATATTTGAAAATAATGGTCATTGATGTAAACGGAATGCCTTTTTCTTTATTTTCCATATTGCTTTCTCGTTATCCAGTCGTTGTTGTGTTACAGCTGAAGAATATCTTCGCAAATGTGTTTAAAAGTAATGATTTTGATGTAATGACAATGAATAATCAAATCATTGAATCGATTTCTTCAAACTGAACTTACAATCCACAAGTTTTTCGGCATCTCGTTCGCATAATTGTTAGATAACCACTATTTGTACAAAGGCCTGCCTGAAATTCGTGATTGAAACATTTAACACGTTGACGACAATAGCGTTTTTGCAAAAACAATCGCATGGGACAACGTTGTTTTTTTCGACAAAAAATGTCACCTGACATCAGGTGACAATGTCGTCAACGTGTTAAACAATATGATTTTCATTTTCAAACATAATACTAAAGATTACTAAAGTATTTTTGGCTAAAGATACTAAAGTATTTATGACTCAAAGATTCTTTTGTTATAATCTTTAGTATTATACAGGTTTTTTTGTTGAGAGTCGATTCTATCGATTCCATCGATTTACCTTAGAACAACAATCAAATCCCGTATCAACACATGTCGTATTGGTGCTATTTTGAGCATAAATCATCAAGAAGATCGTCGAGATGATCAACAAAATAAAGGAAACTTTCATTCTTGGAATGATCAGTAGAAACTGAATATCCTTTTTGAAAGATCTCATTTATATAAATGATTCAGAATGATTTTATTGATACAGCTTGTTTGTTGAGGGTCGATTCCCTGCATTGAACCCTACCTATTCCTTTCCATTTCCACTTTATTTCTCTTATTTACTCTTCAATCATCAACTACATCATGACGTTTAAAATCCAGATTTGGAAGTTGAAAAAAGTGATGTGCGATGGGAAAAAAAGAAACTTGCTCGCATGATTTGCAAAGAGATTTGAAAGAAAATGAAAGTCAATGACTAGCAATCTCTTTCAATTAAAATTTTCGGTAGAATAATAAGTAAATAACAAGCTGTGAACAATAAAAACATCCTTTTCTCTCTTTTTCTCACAGCTCTAATCTTTCTTTCATCAATTTTTTCAGAACAAAATAAACAAGAAACGTTTGGTCAAAAAGGAGTGAATGTTCTAAACACTGAGTGGTTTTTGATTTCGCCCAAACTCTTATTGCAATTTTTTTACGACGTTTAATCATTGTTTGATGTGTTTTTTGATTTTAGAATGAGATTCTCTCTGCTCATTATCTTTTCAATGACTACTCTTGTTTTTTGTGGAGACAAAGTTGAGGAGATAAACGACAATTCCAATTGGCCACCGAAACTTGATAGAAATGGTCAGTTCTAGAAGATGATTTCCCCGTAAACTGACAAATTTGAGTGATAACTTTTCCCAATGATCTTTAGCTCCCTGTCCTCATCCAAATATGGAACGTCGTGATGGTGGAAGTGCAAGTTGTGATGAGAATTGTGAAGATGTGATCGCTGAACGAGAAGGAAAAGAAAAACCAATTCGAGTAGGGAAATATGCAGTGAATCTAACCTCTAAGCTAGTTATCTAGTCATAACTATCAATGAAGTGATTGATTGATTCCACGCTTCCATATTGATTCCACGCTTTCCATATTGATTCCACAAATCTCATTTAGCCTTGTATTTTGATCTACATCTACAATGAATGTCACTGCAAGCCGGGATTCGCGCGAAAAGCCGTTGATAACGCTGAATGTGTGGCGAAAAAAGATTGTTGAATGTGATTTGATGTGATAAATCAAATTTAGCAACTGATATATCCAAAAAATGTTCTCCAAGCTCACAAAATCGCCGTGTTTGATCATGATGAGTCATTGAAAGAATTGCGTGAATGATTTCTCAAATAAGATCTTCTTGTTCCACTTTGTCAGTTCAGCAAATGAAAATGATCAATATTAGAGAAAATTTGGGGATAAACAGGAAGAAAAATGGGTTTATAAACAGAAAAGCTCAATGTTTAGCAATTCGTTTTACAATAATGAACACAATTCTTTTCATTTTTAGTTTTATTCTTGTTTCTTATTCATTTCCATTTGATTTGGATAGAAATGGTGAGTGATTGGAGATGCTCAAACAGAAATATTAGTTTATTTTAGTTTAGTTTAGTCTATTTTAGTTTCGTTTATTTTAGTTTATTTTATTTTAGTTTATTTTAGTTTAGTTTAGTTTATTTTAGTTTCATCCAAAAGATTTTGATAAAAATGATGAGTGATTGAAGATGGTGAAACAGAACTATTAGTTTAATTTAGTTTATTTTAGTTTAGTTTAGTTTACTTTACTTTAGTTTAGTTTCATCCAAAAGTCACTGCTTAATTCTAATTGTTTTATTTCAGCTCCATGTCCTCTTGCAAATCAACATCGACGTGATGGTGGATTGGATGTTTGTGAGACAAATTGTGAAGATATTCGATTAGAAAGAATTGGAAAAGAGGACATTAGGGTTAGAGATTCGAATGATATCTTTATGATTTGATCGCTGTACTTCAATGAATCTTTTCAGCCTTGTCCCCTCGTCGGAGTCATAAATGGATGTTTCTGTAAAGATGGATATGTGATGAAATCTCTTCAGGATAACACTTGTGTACTTAAAGAACAATGTTAATAAAGCTTTTGATTGATTTTTAAACGTCAAATGTTTATCTGAGCCTCAATCGGCCGTTCTTTTTGCAGAAACTTCTCATTTTTTCGATCAAATTTCATTCAATGTTTAGATTTAGGATAAAAGAGAAAGAGAAAATTTGATTGTGAAAAGATTAGAATAGAAAACTTTTCATTATGAACGGCATTTTCATTGCTTTATTCATGACTTTCATTTTCTTTGTACATTGTGATGAAGAATCTCAATTGGAATTGAAACAATTGAATTGAAACAATTAGATTGAAATCAATTGGAATTGAAGTCAATTGGAATTGAAATCAATTGGATTGAAATCAAATGGAATTGAAATCAATTGGAATTGAAACCAGCAGGACCTGATAGAAGTCCTGAGTTAATTCAAGCTTTCTACTATTCGATTATAATTAACTGTGAACTTCTTTACCCTTTGTTATTACTTCATATTAAAATCTTCCATTTCAACTATTATACAATCCCTTTATTTCAGTTCAATGTCCCTTTCCAAATCAAGGTGATGGAGAGCAATGTGTGACACAAATTGCGATGATTTTCGATGGAAAAAAAGAGGGAAAAGAGCCAAAGTAAGAGAGATTTAAAGTCCAAAAATGGTTATATTCTTGAATAGATTTGTCCGGATGTTGCAGTGATCAATGGATGTTTTTGTGATGAAGGATTTGTGAGAGCAAATGCACAAAATGAAAGCTTTGAAAGAGGAATTGCTTGCAAAAATTTCCGATTTTCTCGAACCCCTCGAAATTTCATAGCTCACAAGGCCATAAACAGTGAAAAGTGTGCACATGGCCATAAGCGAAGGAAATTTAGTGCAAACCCATTTTGGGGGAAAAGAGGAGAATTTCAGTAGAAAGGAGTGAATGAATGAGAAGAAATGAATCACTCGACTCCATCCTTCACTTGCCTTCTGTCTGTCTTCCATTTGAACAAGAGGCGGTCAACTTTGAAGTCTTTTTTTGAAAAAAGAGATTCCAAATGGAAGTATCTACACTCTTTCACATAAAAAGAGTCCTTTTTGAGACTAAGGGATGAGTTATCGATAACTACTGTGCCTTTTTTTTGAGATTTGCGAGTTTTTGAAACAGAAACCAGTTGACTTTAGATAAAGAAATGCTAAAGTTTGTGAGAGGTACAAGTTAAACAATTAAAGGAGACACGTGGATAGTTTGGAAAGCCACACGTTGAGCTAGGCTACCAAAACTGATCCCTATACAGGCTTCAATTGTTATCTTTACCCCATTCTTCACATATTCACCCCACATTTCCTACCGGATGTTCCGGAAGGAATTCTAACCTCGAACAGATTGTAAACGGTCATAAAGGTTAGATTTAGCAATGACTCTCCAATGGATAAAGTTCAAAGGAAGCCGTCCATCCATCTTTACGCTCTTTACGAGGCCCTTACTCGAGTGATTTCCCTCTTCTTTTTTTTAGATTCAGATCTGTTCCTCTTTTTCTTTTCAAAAAGCTGTAAACGGGCAGTTATCCGTTTTCTTTTCTTTTCTTTTCTTTTCTCTCACTTCTTTTAACCGATCTTCACCGAACGTAAAGAAGCCGGATCTTTTACGGCCAATCAAATCAGAGTTGATGGGTAATTCAGAATGGGAAAGAGTGAAAGAAAAAGAGATTTCGATTGAGTGCCAAACAGCCTCGAAACGCCTTGTAAATTGCCTTTGTTTGCATGAAGATTACACATCAAAAGAAGTCATTTTATTGGAGAGCTCTGCGATACGAACCATTAGGTAATCTGGATCTCGCTTCCAACAGTTTGCAACTTTCTTTGATCTCCCGATCTCTCAAAAACAGCCACGACCAGATTGTGCAACTTGGTCGATTTTATTGTTACCGCCTCTTAAACTGATGCAATGGGAATCTGTGAGAAGAAATCATTTCCATTGATACAACCATCATTGAGTAATCCTTCGTGGATTGCGCAATTCAGCCAGAAGAGATTTCATTCATTGACAGGATTGCGCCATCGTGTCCTCTTTTTTTGTTCTCTGTCACTTCAACCATCAAATATTGGTTGGGTAATCCGGTGAGTGATTGAGAGATCGGTTACATCAAAGATCTTTTTTGATGACATTTCATTCGATGAGAACAACTCTAATCTCGAGTTACGCAAATCGACTTTCTGGTGAATATTTGGGAAAGGAAATAGCAAGTGTAGTTCTAGGTTATCTGGCTTTTGAACTGCTCAAATGAACTGGCTAAAACTGTTCAAATAAACTTAAGTAGGTGACCAGAGTATTGTAGCTTTTATCTAGGCTTAGGCTTAAGCTTAGTCTCTACTCAAGAGTGTGAGCAATTCTTTAACAGTCCCTAAACATTGCACTCTCTTTCATAGTGACTGCGGGTATCCCCTTAGGTCATAAATATGAAGCGTTTGGGTGAGCACCTCGGAATGGACCCTTCTACCCATCTTTTCTCTCAAAGCTGTGCCATTCATTGTCCATACGGGATCTCTCACTCTCATCCATCCTTTCTCGGAGTTGAAGAAGAGGCGCTGAGATGCTCAATGAATCACCGAATGGAAAGGGCCACATTGTGTCCATTCATCAGCCTTCTCCCCTTTCTTTCTTTCTTTTCATAAAGAGAAGAGTTTCGTGCGGCCAACTGCAAAAATAATGGCTTGCCATTGGCGGGATCCGAACCTCAAGCAATCGCCTTCGAGTGATCGATGACACTCCAATACCCCGTTTGCCTTTCTCTGTAAAAGAGGATAACAAATTGCCCACTCCCACCTGGAAAGCCTTTGAATTGCAGAGTACCGATGTGGGTTCGAGGGGGAAGTGATGGATATCGTGTGCAAATCGGACAAACAAAGAAAAAATATATCGATCTATAGGTGAGGTGAGGGTTTTTTTGATCAAAAATTGCATTATAAAGTGTTAAGTTTGCTAAAATCTGTCAAGAAAGTCAGCAGTCTTTTTCCGAGTCTCAAACAACATTCAACAATGTCACATTGAATCGATCATC